AAGCCATGTCCAGAGGCTCCTCCTTCTAAGGTGTGGTCTCTGTAAACGTAATTGGACGTGCCGTACCTCTGTCTGCAACACTTGAGGAGCTTCCAGTTGCATTCTGAATTTCACCCCTCCTCCCATTATAAGGCCCTGTGAGGAGGAGCAGACGATCTGTAACCTCAATGCCCCACCCCTTCCCGAAGCCCACCTCCTCCACCAGCCCACAGCCTCCTTTCTCCCCCTTAAATGCACCACGCCACTTCCTGCCTCAGGGATTTGGTTCCTGAGGTTCCCTTGGCCTGACAGTTTTTCTTGAGCTCTTTGCCCAACTGGCCTTTTCTTGTGTTTCAAGTCCAGCTTAAAATCATTTCCTTGGGGAGGACTTCCCCACCCAGTCTGAAGTCCCCCGTTATCGTCTCTCACAATCCTTGTTCTTTTGCTTCTGGGCTTTTACCACCATGCGTAATTATACACCTATTTGACTCTGTGCCTACAGCCTGTCTCCCCCACTCGACTGTCAGTCTGTTTTGTTCACCATGACATCCCAGTGTCTAGCATGTCACCTAACCCACAAAACAGCACAGCATATACTTGTTGAATAAACAAATCAAGAGAAACTAGGCTTGCCCCATTTGCTGGTGTTATTCACCTGTAAGTCCCCACAGAAAAGTGATCACATTTCATCTGATCTAGTGAACTCACTAAAATATTATCTCCTGGAACATCATGAAATGAGGATGGAGACCCAAATTCAAAACCATGAATTTAGCACTATACTATTTACTAGTCTCAGCCATATGGGGAATTTGAAAGACCAAAACTTGTACTCCCAGGAAACTTGCAGGCTCCCTAGAAGAAGAGATATACACCTAAAACACTTGGAGAATCATTTAAAGATAGAATATGTTCAAATGTCAAATGACGGGACAAACCATAGGTAAGCTCAGATTAAAGGCAGAAATCACCAGTGAGGCTTGGAGTGGCAAAGACTTCACGAAGGAAGATTTGAACTGGATCTTGAGGAATGAAGGTTTGCGGGGAGGACAAGGGGCATCCGGTATGGGGCCAGAGTGAGCAAACGGATCAAGGAGGGATTTTAAAAACTGCTAAGGAGCAAACACCGAGCTCACAGCTCTGGAACCCTGTCTTCCAAGTCATGATGTACAGACAAGGGCAGAGAGTAGCTCACGTGGAAGGCTATCAAGATGTTTTGATTTTGCTTTTTAACACTGAAGTATTGTTAAATAAAATTTATAGGAGGTCACTGGCTTGGACTGAGCTCCTGCACTAGGCCCAACTGGCCAGCCCAAAATGAGTCACTCATGCTAAAGTTCCATGTCACCAAGCCGAAACTGTTTATCTGATCTTCTGAGAAATCGAGCAAGCAAGAGAGAGAGAGAGAGAGAGAGAAACTAAATTCCCAAACAGGCCAGTTTCAATCTGCATGATAGCGAAGTCCCCTCTGCTTTAATCCTTACAAGGGAAGTGACTTTGCAAAGACCATCTGCTCTAGTTCTGTTTCTGCTTTCTTCTCTGTCTGTGAAACCAACCTCCCCTGCTCAGCTCATTGGAATGCTCATTCTATTTTATAGAATGAAGTGTTGCCCAATTCTACACTAGAAAATAAAGGCAATTAAGATCTTTCAACTAAATTTGCTGTAATTTTGCCTTTCAACAGTATGTAAACAGCAACAGAATAGTTCTGGTATTTTCAGACACCAATTTAAAAATTCAAATGTACAATTATTTTCTCGACCAAGAATTTTTCTTCATATATTTTAAGAGGAAACCTTTAATGTTCAAATTAAAGATATAAGAACCTGAGAAAGAAATATGAATAAACCCTGGGCAGAAATGCATGGAAGAGATCAGCCACTGGCAATGGGATGAAATAGGTTCAAAAATGTGATTTAGAAAAGGGTACCCGGAGGGGGCCGGCCCGGTTGCGCACTGGAGAGTACGCCGCTTGGGAGTGCGGCGGCGCTCCTGCAGAGGGTTCGGATCCCATGTGGAGACCGGTTCCCACTCACTGGCTGAGCGCGGTGCGGGTGCAACACCAAGGGTTGCGATCCCGTTACCAGTCAGTAAAAAAGACAAAAAAGGAAAAAAAAAAAAAAAGAAAAGGGTACCCGGAGGAATACCAATCAGAGAACAATATATTATATGAAGGTAGACTGTGCACAGACCACCCAAAACAGAGCAGCACCTAAATCCTTCACAGGGTAGCTTCAATCTTTGAAAGACATAATATTTTGGTAAACTATTTTCAGTTAGAAAATGTATTAGCTCATATTCAGAAAACACAGTTGTCCCACTTCTGCTTCATGAACATGCTGGGAATGTAAAAGAGAAACATTTGTCTTTTCATCCAAGTTAACGTGAATTAATTTTGTTTGAGCACACCTTTCTAAAGGGCTTTTATTCTCACTATTTGTTCTTGAGTTTTTATTGCATCTTTTCTGCCAGGTATATATGTCTCTGGAACATTGCTTCGGGGAACAGAGGTGTCAGCAATATCTAGTTCTATTTTAAGCTCAGGGAGGAGCACGTGTAATACAAGCAGCATCAGGGAAAAGGAAAATAAATGAACAGTCTGCTGCAATATATTGAGGTGTACTGGGAATTGTGTTTTAAGTCAACCTGTGATTAGACTACAAAACCCCATTCTGAAGAAATTCACCAGAAAGAGGAAAGAGGCGAGAGAAAGGCACCAGAGTTTACAAATGCAGACAGGCAGACAGAGATTTTGCCATGGCTGTGTATCTACAAGCCCTGTTTGTTAAGGCAACTATAACTAAAGTGTAATAAAACAAATATGACTTTATTTGATGGGGAAGATGAGGTGATATAGGTATTGTATGGCTTATATAGGAATTAATTACTTTGAAGCTATAATCACCCCCTGCTTTAGGCAAAATGCTTGTTTTTTCCTAAATGAAGCAGAACGCACGGATCTGAGGAATTAATTATTCAAAATCCCCATCGTTGTGAGCCATGAATGAAGTCTTCATACACGGGAAGAGCTTTATACTGGCTGAACCATACAAAGAAATGATCTTTCAAGTTAAGATATTAACACATGCTGCTTAGGCTTGTTCTCTTTAAGGTCCTTATTTGACTTTTTGATTTTAATAATGACTTTCATAAACCTCAGAAAGCCTCCTGGCTCATATGGAAATCTCACACTGAACACAAGGTGCACGAGGCGCGAGCTTCCTTCGCTGCTTGCTGCTGTCTGCGCTGTTGCCTTCCAGGGCCAGAGCGCTGGTGCTGGGGAGAGGGCTCTGCCAGGTGTGGAGCTGCACAAACCGAAGGTGACGACCTACCAGTCGTCAGCAGCTAGCTGCCTTCCTTCATTAGAACCGCCTACAAAATCAAAATGCTTCCGAGTTGAACCTACCAGAAAAGAATGAGTTTGATCTGAGGAAAGAAATACAAAGTTACTGTGACTAGTTCAAGCCAAACTCTCTTAGATGTCACCCACAGTGGACAAGTAGAGAGCCTCTGCACCCGTGCCCAGGCTCGGGCAGCAACAGAAGGATATGGGGTTTCCAACATCCCATCACTGCCCCAGCACTCAGACCAACCACTCAGGTCGATGAGCTTGAAGGACACTACTCTGCCCAGAGTGCAAGATAACGGCAGGAAAAAGGTGAAGGCAGGGGGAGGGTGATGAGGACCTGAGTGAATCAAAGGGCCTGCGACAGGCCGGTGGCTGCAGCAGGGGGCTCCGCCCACTCTTCTGCAGTTTTTCTTTGTTTTTTCGGTGCAGGGATCTGAACCTGTGACATGGGTGTTATAATACCACACTCTAACCAACCTGCAGTTTCTTTTGCACATCTCTCCACAGCACAGGTAGCTCTCCTGTCAGCCAACATAAGCAAACAAAAGAATCCCTGCTGTGGGTTCTCGGAGTCTGAAGTAATGGACCCAAACCAGTTCCACGGAAATCAGATCTGTTCTGGGAAGCCACGCCGACTGACTTTGAGAGCTCCGCCAACAATGATCTCAGGCAGAAGAGAAACCAAACCATCCGTTTCCCTTCTGGAATTGTCCAGGGCCAAGATATTTGAGGACGACTGCTAACTGATCAACTTTTCCGAAGGTGGATACCCAGCATTTCACTGAACTTCTCCCAGCATCCCAGGTTATGGTTGAGTGCACTTTCCTGAGGGCTCAGAGCAGTTTCCCAGGACAGTTGTCAGCAGGTACTTCTCTAGTGGGACCCAGGACAGAATGACCCAGAACAAAACAACACAGCCAGAGAATTTATGAAGGTGAAATCTGGTGCGTTCGAAGCCTCACAGCTGCAGACAGATGTGTCAGCGAGGCCATCCGCTGGGAAACAGCTCTGATAATGTCACTCATGGCAACCAGCATAGAGAAAGTGAAGCATAACATGACCCAGAACTGGGGACAAAGAACGGAGCTGTCACCTTCATTAATTAGCTTATAAGAAAAGAGCAAAATTAAAAAAAAAAAGAAAGAAAAAAGGACATAAGAAAAGAAATGACGAAAATCTTTACAAATCGATGATTCACCCAATTGCCAATTTCAGGTCATGTGGGATGAAAACATCATTCTTTGTTGACATCATCAGACAAAGACTATTACTAAAAGCTTCTCTTATTTTGTTTGCCTAGAGTCATTCAGTTCAGTGGGTGACTTCAAGTTTCTACACCTTATCATTGTCTATTTTATCTCCCCTCAAAGTACTAACATAAGCTATAGAATGCATAATTTTTAATTAAAATAAACTTTATTTTTGTAACAGGATTATTTCATTTCAACTCACAAAACGTAGGAGGAACAGGTAAAGCACAGAATTATGGAAATTTAAAATCAAGAGGCATAATACAGATATTAACAAGTGTATAGCTGTAGATTTCATATTTACTTGTGTGAGAAATTCACACAGAGGAAAAGACCCACTTTAGAACTCTACAGTTTTATCCTCTGTCTCCCAGAAGCATAAAAATGCAAGCTAGGCTGAAAACACAATTTCAGGTACTTACTGATTCCTTGAAAGAGCTCTTCGATATTAATAGCATTTTTTGCACTTGTTTCCACCACGATGGCACCTATAGATTCAGCATATTCCTTAGCATCCTTCAGGGGAACCTCCCTGGAAAAGAGGTCAAACCCAGAGAGAAATAAATGCTCATTAGTAAAATACAAGTAATTCCAAAAGACCAAACAAACAGCTCGTGTGGAAAGAGCTCCTTTCTTTTTCTATAGAATAATAACTAAATTACTCAGCAATTATTGAAGCCTAGTATGGGTGAGATTTTTTAAAGTTTAAAACCTGGTCCCTGGCAACCATGGAGAAAAGACATGCACATATAAAATACTGTTCCTGGTCTCACAGAAGGAGAGATTCCAGAACAGTAGGGAAAATCATCATGATTATGGCAGTACACATTCCAGCTTTCAGAGCCTAGGCTGATTTCCATTTTTTTTCCCCATATATAACTCAATATCAAAAAATAACAACAACACTGTTAGTGTGCGTATGCACATGTGCTTTCATGAGACTTTTCACGCACAGGTTAAGCATCCCTAACCCTGAAATCTGAAATTTGAAGTGCTCCAGAATCTGAAACTTTTTTAGTGCTGACATGACGCGCATTTCGAATTTTGGATTAGGAATGTTACCTATCTGGAAATATTCCAAAATCCAACAAAATCTGAAATCCAAAACAAACACTTCTGGTCCCAAGCATTTCAGATGAGAGATACTAAACCCGCATTATTTTTCACAAACCAGAGAAAATATGCGACATGATTTGACAGTTTGGAAATGAACATGGTATGATGGCTATGATGCAATATGGCATATCTGGACTTTCACCTTCAAAAGGATGTTCCCGCAATGGTTTTAGAATGTGAACTCTAAATAAACAATCTAAAAAACATTTACTGATTTGTTTTCACTGTGAAAATGCTATGGTTAATATCCAAAGATAAAAAGACACAATTTCTGTTCTCCAGGAGTTTATCCATTTATTCAGTGAGTATCTGTTGAGCAGCTATTTTTATGACAGTCTCTTGCAGGTGCTAGAGAAAACACTGGTCCATGGTATCTGGAACCTACATCTTAGAGTATAGAGAAAACACATTCATGGTCACTCTAATCCACAACACTGTAACAGAGTGCCTCAGGAGTAGAGGGGTAGAAAGTGACACATTTTGATCAATGGAACCCAGGAAGACACCTTGGAAGAGGTCACCTTGAGCGTGGCTGTGAAGGCCAGGTAGAATACAGGTGAGAATCTGTGATGGAATAGGCTGAGCAAGGCCCGGAGGCAGGAGAGAGCACTCATTCCCTGTTGATTCTGCACCCAACCCTGCCTCCAGCATGAGGGCAGATCTACAAATGAATGATGTAGTATCTGAATGGAGCCACTCAGAGTGACCAGAGCTGAGACAGGGAGGGTCCAGAGGGAGTCGTGGCTGGGCAGGGATGCGCGACAAGCCTGGCTCATGCCCAGTGGCTTCAAGAACAGGAGGGTGACAGGGTCAGCTCCACAGTCAAGGAAAAAAACAATGCATGAAACGGACTAGAGAGGAGGGGGCAGCAAGAAGTACGGTTGGAAGATCCTCTGGTGCTGGAGGTGAGGGAGAACCCAATCCTCAACTGGAAGGACACTCCAGGAAGAGAAAAGAGGCAGTGCAGGGTTGAAGCTGGGGAGGGCAGTGGAGATACTGTGCCCATCTCCCTCCTTCCCACTCCTCACCCCTCCAAATGCCCATAAATTGTTTTAACTGGTCTATAAAGTTACTGAGGAAATTCTACGTTGGCATTCAAATTCCTTAGGGACCCCAAATCATGAGAGGTGGACTTTTCAGGTCCGAGATGGAAAAGTGCCCAACTAGAACCTACCACATTGAAGGTGGTCATCCCAAGACCCTAAACCAGAGAAAGGAAGCCTGCTGAGCTGCGGCCGCTGGAATCTACTTCCAGAACCTTCCTACCGCCTTATTTTTTCTAACAGACAAACCCGGCCTGTCGCAGGGACTGTTCTTGAGTTTTTTGGTGGCAATAACTTTTACATTTGAAAGATTCCAGAAAGGGGCTTTTTTTCCTGTTCAGTTTGGCAGTTTACTCTATTTTTTATTTCTTTCTGGAAGTCTTTATCAAACTGCAGACAAAGGGTGGGACTCAATTCTGCCCAAATGTGGGGCAGATTAGAAGAGGTGTCGCCTGGTCCTCTCGATCTGGGCGTGGCGAGGGGGCACTTGGCAATCTGGATGCCTCGGGTGAGAGAAAATGATACACACAGTTAACACTCTTCCTCAGTCCAACCGTGTAATAAAGAGGCGTAGACGAGGTTTGACCAGGACAAAGAGTAGTCGTTGTGACGCAGTCCCAAATGCCCACCCTGAGAACGTCAGTGAGCCCAGAGGGGCCAGTTCTTTTATGGTCTACACCACCAGACCTTGAAACCAAGAGCTGAGAAGATCGTGCTCTGGGACTCCTCCATGTTAGAAACCGGTCTCACTGAATCGGTGACACAGCTAATGGGCTACCAAGGCAGCGCTGACTCTAAGTCCCTCTGACTCTGCTTCACAAATGTAACTTGTCAAAGCCTGGCTAACCACCTTTCCCCCATGAATCTGCCACTCTTCCCACAAACCTGTTACTTCCCAAGCCAGAAGCCACCAAGCCATCCTAAGCGGCTGAGTAAGGAAGCCTGCTGAGCTCCCTCCTGGCCTCGCCTCCACCCACCCGCCACGACCGGCCCCTGCCCTGTTCATTCCTGACATGGACTCCTGCAGTGGCCTCCCCTGGTCCTCCAGCCTCCTGCCATCCACGGTGGGGACCTATCAAACTACAAATCGAACCAGTATCCTGTGAACAGGATTCCTCATGTCTCCTGACTGCCTTGGATCAAACCAGTAGCTTACCAGGAAGAGGCTTCGTGTCTTCTCCTGTGACCACCCCCACAGTGACAGCCACTGCTCAGGAACCTGCTCTGCCCTTCGTCTGTCCGGCCTCCCTGCTCCCGGGGCGACACTCCCCTCGGCCTCCGGGACAGCGCAGCCCCGCACGAGCCCCCGTGCTCCTCCCTTGTCCCTGAACAGCCTGCGCACACGTCCTTCACGGTACTGTCGTCCCCGCCAACCTGTCTCCCCGAACATGGTTTTTATTTTACTGTCTAGGGGTCCCCACACTTGGATCAATAAACCTAGGAGGCAATCGGTAAACGTCTGTTGAGTGACTAGTGACAAAAATGCCCCACGTGGCCTTCATCAGACAGAAGGAGGCGGGTGGCGGGGGAGCTGCGCACTCTCCACTGGGAGGTCCCGAGGCAGGGGTCCACCCACCGTCCCTCGTGGGCCAGGAGGGGGCTCAGCGGGTGCAGAGCACGGGAGGGGAGCCCCTGCCGCAGCTGCTGCTGGAGCTGGAGCGTCGGCGAGGCCGGGCAGCAGCCCGGCTGCCTCCCGGACGCAGGCACAGGATCCTCCCCAGCAGGGGACGGAAGCCAGGGAACAACGTTCCTGTGGGCTCCAGAATTTGCCACAGGCCTGTGCTACCCAACTGGGGTCCTTGCGTGGTTGTTCATGGGTGTAACCCGGCAACGTGGCAGCTGACTCACGCTAATTTCGGGGCCGGTCAGATTCTCCAGGGCAGGGAGAAGGAAGACGGGGACACCGAGGGGAATCCTGAGCCCACCTGGACGGGGGAGCGCGCCGGCAGCGGCGAGGTGGACCGATGCTCTTCCCCGTTAGGGGTTTATGGGAGGTTCCCTTGCACAGCGCCTGTGCAGGGAGAGGGCTGCCACCGAGCCCCCACTCCCTTCTACCTGAAGCCTGGTGTCTGGCCACGGGTCCTGCTTGGGCGTCTCAGGCATGCGCCCGAGTGGGAGGTGACCGCGCAGGCGGTCCCCGCTGTTCCCCTGCACTAAACACCCCGCAGCCTCCCCGCAGGTCTTCAGCCGCACTTGCAGCCCAGCAGCAGCGGCGACCGCTTCACAACAAGGGGACAGCTTCGGTGCAAGTGATGTCAGGTGTTCCGATGTCCCCAGTGCTCGGCACCGGCACACAGTGAGTGCCGCCCTGCATCCGCGTTTCTCAAGCAAGTCCTCGCAGAGCTGAGTCGGCGGGGATGGCGGCGGCACCGCGTCCTTGCAGGATGCAGAAAGACTGAGGAAACGCTGCCAGTGCAGGAACAGGCAAAGCCCCCCGAGGTTCTCTGACTCGGCCCCTTCACTTCATGGCCCCGGAGGGCCCCAGTCCAGTGACCACTACGCCACATTAGAGTGGGGGAGCACAGGCTGCACCGGCCACTGGCCAACTACCCCGCCGTCCATAAATCACCCCAAGGGTAGCACTGCATCGTACTGTGAAGTCCTTCTTGATGAAAGAAATCTGACATTAATTCTGAGTAACCTCCATTAAAGAAGAGTGAACAACTTTTCATAAACTATGGATATTTCTTGCTCTGTGACATTCTTACGCATGTTTTCTGGCCCAGCATGGTTTGGGGGATATTTTATTTATTTTTTCTCTCATTTATTTGTAAGTTCTCTTTGCATATTAAGGAATCTAGCCCTTTGTAATACATTTTCCACATTTTTTTCACCCTGTCTTTTGTATTTAGATCTTGTTTGTGGCATTTTTGCTACACAGAAATTTTTATATAATTCGACTAATTGATCATTTTCCTCTATGGCTTCTGAGTTTTGTATCTTAATTAAATAGGGCATTCCATTTCCTATTCATCTATTTTCTCTTTTATGGTTTCATTATTTTACATTTAAATCCTTGTTCCATTTTGAATTCATCTTCTCTCATTATTTCCCTGATGACTAGGTGATTATCCTAACACCACTTATTGAATTAGCCCTTTTAACACTGATTTTAAATACCATCTTTGTCATATACTAAATCTCCCTATGTATTTCACCCCATTTCTTGGTCGCTACACTGTTCATTGATCTTTCTGTCTATTTCTGTGCCAGAGCTATATTGTTTTATTACTGAATCATTAAATATATATATATATATTATATTACATATAATATCTGCTGGGATTAGTCCCCTCAATACTATTTTTGCCTGTTTATTTTTCTAGATGAAATTTAGGATTATTTTGTAAAATCCTTTTTAAAAGGTTATTTT